AGCCCGATCAGCACCGCCACTTGCCTGAGAGCCGGGGCGGCCGGAGCGCGCCCCGAGCTCGGGCGCCGCCGCCGCTACCTCGGTGAGGTGAGTTGGAGCCTGGGGTCCCCGCGGAGGTCCGGGGGGAGGCTCGGGGCGCGCTTCCGGGGGCTGTGGGGAAAGATCGCGCGGCGCACGCGGCGGAGTTGGCGGAGCCCCTGCACTCCCGAGTTGGAGCTCTGGGGGTGGCCTGCTGGGGAGTGAGGCGCCCCGTCGACACTGCGGCCCGCGTGGGTGGGGGCGCCGGGGAACTTAGGGGAACTCCAGCTCTCCGCGGAGGGGGTGGGAAGGAGGGAAGTGGCGTGGGGGTGGGCCGGCGGCGGGGGGGCTCCCTAGCAATACGCAGGACAGTCCCCCACTGTGTGCCCCAGCCCCTGGGGCATGGCCGCCATGCGGCTACCTCCTCCCCAAGCAGCTCCAGACTTGGGGGGCGACACTGCGCCTTATTTTCCAGCGGGCAGTGCCGGTTTGGGGAGCCCCTGGAAATGGCACCCCTGACTCCCTGATCGGCTGCTGTGAAAGGACGCACGGGGGTGGGGTTCCTGCCCGCAGGGTAGGGGCTGGCCGGTGTCGCTCCTGGGCGAGGCGCTGGGCGAGGGTCCCCCGGAGAGAGGCGCCTCTTGTTCCCCCTCCCCCGCGGACCGGTGTTCCTGGTGCTTGGGCCTGCCTCCCGCGGCTGGTGACGCCTCATCGCGCCGCCTCCTGGTCCCTCCCCCGGGCTGTGCAGATACTTGGGATGCCACTAGTTTGGGAAGTTGGAATTCAGAGCTGGTCCCACTTGGGCTGGGCCTGGAGGCCCCAGGCCCCGGTGTTGGGGGAGCACCCCCCCCACGCCTGGGGAGGGTGGGGCGCCCTTGGGGCGCACCTGCCCCATGCTGGACGCTTGCAGGGAAAAGCCCTAGGGAGGGAGAGAGGGCGAGACTGGAGAGAGGGAGAGACACGCTGTACCTGTGAGCTGAAGTCGCCCGGGCCCAATTAGCGTGGGGGTGCCCGGCGTTATTTTTACATTGTAGGCTTATTTTTTTTGGAAGCGAGTGTCCTCTCGCCGCCTGTCGCCTGCTCAGGCTCTCCAGGGTCTGGTGCAGGCAGCGGAGGTGGATCTGTTCTGGCGGCTCAGCCTCCTCCCTTCCTCCCCTCCTACTCCCCCCCTGTTGGTGAGAACTGGTTTTATTATGATTTTTTTTTTCCCTTTTGCAGATTTGGAGGAAGGATGTGTGAGGGAGGGAAAGAGGGAGAGAAGGGGGAGGAGAGAGAATCCCTGTGGGCTGGTTGGGGGAGTTTGGGCGCCTTGGGATGTGTTATCATGGCCTTGACTTTGCCCTTTTTAAACCAGCCCTGGGTCCCTGTCTGCTTTGATATGGAGGGCTCTCTCCGCCAGGGGGGAGGGTGTGGGGGCATTGTGTAGTCCATCGTGGGTGTTCTTTTTTGAAGGGGGGCAGTGACCGAGAAAGGAATAAGTGTGAGCTGGTACCGAGCCAGTGCCAGGCAGCTCAGCTACTTGGGTTCAAATCTTAAGCTCCCCACTCCTGACCCTGAACAAATGCCCTGAACAAATGACTTAACCTCTTTGTGCCTCGGGTTTGTAGTGAGAACTGATAACACATCCAAAGTGCTTGTATAGTCAGCTGACCGCTGCTGTCGTCATTATTTCCAGGTTTCAGAAACTTGGCCAGTAATCCAGTGGCCTGGAAATCTTGTGCGGAGGGCAGCCTGGCCTGTAGCCTGGGGCGTGGGGGTGTGGTGATTCCACCCTCGGCCCTTTCCCTCGAGGATGGAGCACAGGCGGTGCCTCGCGCCCATTGACCGGATGCGCAGACCGAGTCGGCCGCGGGGCGCGCGCGGGAGCAGCAGCGCGCGGTCAGCGGTGACTCGGCAAGGCAGCAGCAGCGGCCGGGAGCTTCGAGGGCATCTTGGGCCGGCGTCCTGGGCGGGCGCCGTCTGGCTTCCCCGGGCCGGCTGCCTTGTCCCTGCTTGGAAATTTACCACCGCTGCCGCCGCCGCCTGCCGCCGCCGCCGCCGCCGGGTGCCTGGGGAGTCTGCGGTGTCCAGACGAGGGGGCGGGAACCCAGCGCTGAGCGGGCCTGCTCCGGCCTCTCCCACTGAGCTATTTACGCTTGCTCGGGGATCAATACTATTGATAAATCCATGTAAATGGTAATGTGGCTGTCAAGCCCCAGTGAGGGATGGAGACCTCTCCTGGGGGCGCGCAGCCCCCACCCTCTCCGCTAGGCTTTGGCTACGTGGGAAGGATTTATTTGGCATAATCCGTTCTTTCCCCCCAATTAATAATACTCATACCACCTAAAGATTTCTGAGAGCTCTGCAAACACGAATTTAGCTGCAGGAAAGCCCGGAGTTGGGGAGGGCGGGATTGTTCTCTGGTGTGGGGGTGGGGGGATTGACTGCCTGGCAAGGAAAGGCACCCCAGGAGTCCCAGCCCCCAGCGGCTTGCTATTCAGCTGGATGTGGAGGCTGCCTGCTTTGCTTTCACCCCAACTGCTATGGGGGGGGGTATGCCTTGTTCTGTGTTCTCACCCCCCGTGGAGTTCTGTGGGTGAAGAAGTTGGGGGTTCACGCTGAGATTAGGGGGCTGCGGAGAGTCTTGCCCCTCTAATCTCCCAACTTGAGAGGGCTTCTGTCTGAGAAGTCAGGTCCAGGACCATCACCCCTTCCCTCTGAAACCCCTCCATGCAATGGTGTCTGACAATAGGGGCCCGGAGCTTTATTTGTGTGTTTTTCCCTCCTCTGTCTCCTTTTCATGTCTCTGGTACCACAGCTGCCTCCCCAGGTGACACCTCTGAGAGTGGCTTCCCTGCGGGGGCAGGGCGCAGCTCTAGAGCTGGTGATTCCTGCCCCAGGTGTTTTGGGGGAGGGGGCTGGCTCAGGTGCCTTGGGGTGGGGGCAGAGGGGACGTGAGCCAGGGCTGTAACCTGGTGAGGGGGTGTCTTCTTTAAAGAGCTGTAATGCATGGGTGTGTTGGGTCCTTAGGGAACTGACACTTCGGAAAGGTCCCTTGGACCTTTGGAGGATCCTTGGAAGTGGGGAGGGACTTTACTGCCCTGTCACATGAATTTGAGGCTCAGGAGTTGGAAAATACTATATGTTTAAATATTGCAACAGTTGTACATCCAGCAAAGAGCCATCTCACAGAAAGCACGGAATTCGCACCTAGCCCCCCATCCCCCCACCCCAGGAATTCATTTGTTTACTCTTTACTACTATCCTTGAGATGGTAAAGTTGAGGCACAGAGAGGTTAAGTGACTTGCCCAAGGTCACACAGCTTAGACATGCAACTAAGAATAAGACCTGGGATTGTCTGTCCCTGGTCTTGTTGATGCAGCAGGAATGTCCTGCAGACCTGTGAGGGCCCTAGAGCGCCTAGGGGAAGGCGATCAAGAAATTATGTTGCTTATTTGAGCAGCACCTACAGATCTTTGGCCCAGAGGGCAGGAGCCTGAGAACTTGTTCTCCCCAGGATTTGGGGAGGGGGGACCATGCCAGCGCTGGGCTTGGCCTTTCTTTGAAGTCTCATTTTATCTTAAACATTCATGCAAATTTGGCATTCTCTTTGGCGACAGGGCTGTGTTTATTTTGAAATGAAAACACGGTTTTGAATTATTTAGCATGGCGTATACCGGGCTCCAGAAAGCTGCATCAGATGAGTGCTGTGCCCTGTGCCATGGCCCGGAGTGCCCACAGGCTGGCGGGCAGCCCGGCCACTTTGTAGCTGGAGACCTTGAGTTGCTGGGGTGGATGCTGCTTCCCTCCATCTTGCAGCTGAGGGGACATGGGGCCTTGGGGCCAGCGAGCCTGGTGGGACTTGCACTTAGCCAGAACGGTCTCTATCATTTTATCTCTGTTCTAGACCCAAGCGAGGCTTCTGTGCCCAGCATGTCCACACCACCATGCTCAGCTGGACTTGGGCCAGATGCCTGAAGACTCAGAGCCATAAAGAATCAGCTTGAACACAGAGTAGAGGACATTCTGGGTGTTTCTCTGGTGTTCTTGTGAGGGCAGTGACTTAGCCCTGTAGGTGGCGGTCAGTCAAGCCCAGCCTTGGCCTTTTCAGTACACCCAGCCTGCGCCTGCCGCTCCCCAATCGTGTGGTGCTCTGGTCTGGGGACTGGGGAGTGGACCCATTGTCTACTGCCCACAAGGCAGTGGAGGGGATTAGAGGCAGAAGATGACCATACTGGGCTTGACTTATTTAACTTCTGGGAACCTCTGCTTGCTCAAATCTAAGATGGGGGTGATGGTGATAATGCTCGTATTGTGGGGTGAGGACCCTTGTTTTGCTGGAGTTACTGTTACCCTTTGGCCTACCCTGTTGGAGAGGGAAGGTGACCCACGAGCTAGGTGGTTGGGTGCCCTCCTCCCTCCAGGGGTTGCTGGATGGCCCCTTCCTGAGCCATGTCTCCCCTGGGAGACATGAGGCCTGGGCCCCAGGCCTGGGTTTGGTCCCTCTGGACATGGCTGGACCCTCTGCAGTGGCCTGGCTGGTGATTCCAGACCATCCAGGCCTTCCCTTTGCCTTTGGAATCATTCAAGACCTATCAGGAACTGGAAGGCCAGGAGGTCCTGGGGTGGAGGAGGGCAGGAGGAAGTCAGGGGGCTGATGGGGAGGACAAAGGAGCCCATCTTTGGGGGTGGGGAATTGAAATTCACCTCCACCTGTGAAAAGGGGACTTTGGAAGGGAGATTTTGGAAAGAACTTTGATGTCAGACCTAGGTCCCAGTCAACCAGTAATTGAAGTGAAGGGTCTGGTCTTCTAGCCTCAGTTTCCTTTGGAGAAAATGGCTCGCACAGGACAGTGTGGAGCTTTGTCCACAGTGTCCAGTTACCCTCTCCCGAGGGCTGCACAGCTGAATTGGCAACTGTGTTTCATTTTAAAGAACTTACATGTGAATAGTCACTTGTGCCCTAGGATAGATGCCTGGGTAGGTGATGAAGCGAGATTGGAGTTGTGCTTGGGAGCCTCTGACTTTGTCCCCTTGGTGATCTCTCTCACCTGGTGCCCCTGAGGGCTGCCATGTTGGAGGACCCCTT